AACTGATGTTTGGCCTCAATGATGATATGGAATTCAATATGAAAACACAGGTATTTCGCTTTGTATACTATTTCTGAAGTAGGATATCATTAAGTTTTTCTTTTTGTTTGTAGTTCGATGCAATGAATACCAAAGAAGAGCAATTTAACTTCGGTTTATGGATACAGCAGTTAAAAATGCGTATGAATGTATGGCGTAATAGGCGTTTGAAAGATGTTTTAGAAAAAAGGTATTATTTTCATCTTCATTTTGGTGACTATAATCAATAAGTAAAAATGAAACACTTTAACAGCTTAATATTAATAAATAATTAATGGCATAGTATTAATAAATCTGTAGCAATAAAAATATTTTTGAATGAGATCGATCGATGGACGTATATTTTATACTTTCTCTTCTCATAAAGATGCTTACTTCAGCTAATTGATTATTTTTTTTTATTTATTTCCCGCCATACTTCAATTACACTGCTGTCTTGCTGAATGAAATATCCGAATCAGATTTTATTAACCAATATATTAAGTAAACACCCATGTTGATTAGAGTATTCAGTTGTTACTAAGCGAAATCATACCAGACAGCGGAAATTTTCAGGACAACTGCCCTTCCTAAATATGATTCTGTATTTGAAAATCATCGCATGTTATTCGTTCGTGAAAATTATCGAGGAGAAAAAGTTTCGCAAATTGGTAATGGTCGTTTAACGGGTGGTCGAAATTTGTATTTTAGGGTAAAATTCTCATTGTATAATAGTAAATATTGAAAGTGTAGATTTGTTTATTTTCTTTATGCTTTCTCAAAATTTAAAATGTTTTAGGGATGCGTACCAAGTAATTTTATTATGGAGAAACGTGATTATGCATTGCTCAGTACTTTTGAGGATGATTTCGATTTCACGCCATTACGAAGCCTCAACAAAGAAGCTTTGTTAAGTAAGTTATTTGTGTAACTGATGTTAATATTAAATATAATATTTTGAAATCATCACTTTTTTTTGGATATATTTGAGCAACAATACTTCGTTTTCATTTGATTTACACAGTCATTGCAACTATTGATTGACCAACATATAAGCTATATGTATTATTTTTAGCACCTCTTCGTTATCAAGCAACTCATTATCTTGAATGGTATGAAGATCTGGAAAAAAGTATTTCCACAGATAATTTTGAAAAAATTGATCGGTAGGTATCCATATATGTTTTCAGAAATTGAGGCATGATTATCATCTAAATTTGTAAGCTGACTAATTTTTACTTTTTGCAGATATAATGCTGAAATGTTTTTTAAATCGTTCAAAAATCATCGAATGGAATATGAAGTTGTGATAGCCTCCAAAAACAAGAAAGTATTGAAAAGCGAGGTATAACTAATATTTATCTTTTTCTATATTTGTTGCAATATTTAAAGTAGCTTACTATATGTGAAAGAATTTCCAAAAATCCTTTTCTAATTTCCAAAAAAAAAAAAAAAAAAATCTAATACTATTACAGGGTTTATGTTGCTCCGATGAGGTACGAACAAAATGGCGCCAACTATTTCCATGTTCGGAACATTATGAGGTAAGCTGAATAAACTACAGCATTAAGCCCTGAGAAATCGTTGTTTGAAAATGTAATGTTTTGAAATTTATGAAACTTTTTTTAAGTCATATCCACGACCAATATATTGTCCTGGATTGCTCAAGTTTAATTCTGGCGAACCGATTTATATTCCAATGATTTATACACCTGGTATAACATTTTTGTGCTTATTGAATCATTTTTTTAAACTATCATTTTTGTGTTTATTGAATTACTTTTTTAAACTATCTATGATTATAATCAAAAGTTAATTATTTCATTATTTATTTTGTGTTTCTCTACTTAGCAGCGTATAACTATTGATGTGTACTCATTGATTCAACTAATAATATTCTAGCGGTGGATATTATATACCAAAACGCGTCGCCATATTTTAGCGAATCCTTCGGTGATCTTCTTGAAATTCTCTCTTTGATGATTGGAGAAGATATAAAAGTTGTTTACGCTTTTTTTCTAATGCTAGAAATGAAATGCTTAATGCCCAATACGTTAGTTCTTTTTTTTTTTTTTTTTTTTTTTGTGATTGTTTTTTTTTTATTTATATTGCATTCTAAAAAGAGGAAATGTTCCGTTTTTTTTTACAGATTGAATGAACTCAATGAAATTGCCAAAAATTGTGAAAAGTTTACAACTTGTGCTCAGGTAGAATTGCTGGGTGATGAGCCGCGTAATGTAGAAGTTGAGATGTGTCGTATTAGTGAAGATGTGGCAAGTGCCGATTTCAAATTTTTAGTGGTTTGTTTCTTTCTTTTTTTTATAAAACATTTCATGAAACATTTCATATCCATATTTATTGGTATGTTTAATCATTTTTTTCTAATTATTTTCAGTTATAAGTTGTCATTCCTACACCGCAACTCTTTTTATCATAGCTTTCGCGTGGCTACCTTATATGCAATTATGTAAATTTGTAAAATTTCAATATTTATCGGTTACTAGTAAGGCAGTAATATATACCAGAGGCAATCTACTTTCTTTTCTGTCGTGCGTCATCTATACTTGTAGTACTTTTTTACGAGTTTATACAAAAGATTATCACCCAATAAGGATACAGAAATCATGAATGACTTTTTCACGAGACATATATACCTTGTTATCAGAATATTTTAATATATATACCCAATATTTCTTTCTTTTTTTTTCTAGTAAAGTTTTATTGCCTTTTTAGTTTTGTTCAGTTTAACAGAAAATCTTGAGCAAAGCAATTTCAGACACATATGGGAGACATAGAAATCGATGTGGAGAAGACATCAAGAACACCGGTAAAAAGAAGAATGAAGAAATCATGTAATTATTTTAACTTATGCTTTTAATTGTTTTCTTCTTGAAATTCCTTTCAAACACACATCGTTATTTTTGCTTACAATATTAATTGAGTATATATAAATATATTAATAATTTGGAACAACAAATTAAAATGATTTGTAGATGGTTTGTAGGTGATTGTACTCCAAAAAAACGATCAAAAGAGCGAAGAAAACAATCGCTTACAATAGAGCATCCTGAGGAGCAAACCGATGGTAATGTTCTAGAAAAGTCCTTTTCTAAGCTTTAATTTTCCTAAAAAAATTTTAAACCTTCAAAAATTGTATCTTTAATCTATACTAACAAAAACAAACAATAATCATATTTCGAAACATAAGGCTAGTTTTTTTTTTTTTTCACCCGATTACCGGCAAGGAAAACATTTATAAATCAGGTTTAAATATTACTGCGCTAGTATAACGAATACTTTTCAGATACGGATGAGGAAGAGATTGTAATTACGAGGACATACAATGATAAATTAGCTAATGATTTCGACCAAATGAATTTATACCCAGAAGGTAGGAATTTGAAAGTACAAACCACAAAAATTGGGTAGAACTGAGTAAAGTACATAACTGTTTTAAAGTACACATTACTATGCTGTGCTAAGTAATCTAATAATAGTTACGATTGAGTATAAATATAAGATCATTTTTCTGCTTCATTAAAAATTTACTTTTGGAAATATACGATTAAACAAAAAGAAGGATGTGCATGTTTATAGGAAAGCAAACATTGCAACCGGGAACGAATAGCATTTCCAGATCGATGTCTGATGATACAAATATTATAAGTTTAAGTGATGATGGTTAGCTTTTAATGTCATATATTTAATATTTAGTAATACTTGATTCATCCTCAAATTACATAAACTATTTTTACAGAAATAACCGATACTACTACTCCGTCACGAAAACAAAGATATGGAAAGCAAAATCGAATGTCAAAATTTTCAAAGACGAGTATTTTTAAGCATTCATCGACAACCAAGGTTGATAGTTTTCATAACTTGTCGAATTTTCCAGAATTAAAACGTGGTAAATCTAGAAGACATTAAATCATGGCTTTCATTAATTAATTCCAGTGAGGTTCATTCGATTCGAATCTACAGCTTTTTTTCAAAATATAGTTTTTTTTTTCCTTTTTTTTTTTTAATTTTGTCATGTTTTCAGATCAAAAACCGGTTCTCAGAATGTTTTAATTTCGAGTTTGAAGCCGCATTTGCGTTAACAATACCGAAATACTGGTGATAGAATTTCTGGACAGGAAAAAGAAAAAAACAGACATAACAGTGATATCATAGTCTTGCTAAAAAAGTGCGAGATTAAACTGTCAATCACTAGAGGCGCGCTTATTCTCACATTACTTGTACTATATTGAAAGATGTTGTATAAACAGTCTTAAGTAATATTTTGAAATAACAAAAAATAAGACATATGCGCTACTAATTACATTTACTAATAGTTTTGCTCATATAGTACCTATAGTACCTCTTTAACAACCAAGTCAATTCAGTTTTTTCGTTAATGAGATTAGTTTCATTTATTTACTGAATGAAATACCATTAAAATGTTAGTAAATCAGCAAAGAAACAACATTATGATGGTCAGGAAAGACAATTCATGAGGACACATTACCAACTTATTTACATATTAAGTGGCTATTCGTGACTTAATGTCATAGTTACGACATACTTGTTTCACACAACTGACGTCAATGCTTCTTCTGCTTTTAAGGATTAAATCGAATTACTTTATCTTAAAATGTTACAATACATTGAATCGAGTAGCACTTTCCTTGTCATTTATAATTTCTTAACGTAAGTTTAACTTACGCCAATACACATTTTATTAATGTTGATGCTTAATTTTGTTTCCATGTTGTTTGATGGAGTCATAGTCTCTATATCCTTCATCCTGTTTTGTTCAACTTAATTCTCTTTTATGCACAAAGATTCCGCATTATTTTTACATTGAAGTTAACACACACCAACAATTATTAAGTTTTGATTCACATAATGAAAATTTTCAAATATTTAATTCCCACTGAAAATACAATACGAATATTTTTGATTCATTTGAATCATAAATGAAACAACATGAAGTATGATTATACCAGATTAAAACCATGACACTGATCTAAACATATAAGCAATCTACGTCGCATCTCTTGTCGATCGGTGATATTCGGCAAATCAAGCAAATTGAAACATGTATGCGCTACTGGTAGTGCTTTCTCATCACATGGCTGTATCCGTATCTGTACTGCTGACATACCCTTTAAAATAAAAAAATTTTCCGTACAAACCAAACAATATGAGGGATTTAGACCTTACAATATGTAATCAGTAAAATGATATTTTCCCAATAAATGTTATTGAAAACATTTTAATTTTACTTTGTTGCTCTTTTTGCCAGAGGCGAAAATTTTGAATCTAATTGCAAAATATTTCTATTAAATCTTTGTAGAGCAATGGAAAACAGAGTTATATTTTTGAATTCTAAATTATATTTACTTTTAAACAAAATATAAAAAAACCTGAATCGGTATCCTTGTGGTTCCCATTAAAAATTGCAAAAATTTCTTCCTTTCAACAATGTTAAATTCAAAGAAAACTTCCCAAAAACAAAGAATTGCTTCGTGTCGTGCGTGATATACTCCTTTATATTCTGCATTCTAAACTATTGTTTATAACGATACTTTTTATAAGCAACAAACTGCCATGTAAACTGCATTTTAGTTTTATATGATTGGGAAAATTTACACTAAGTTTAAATGGAGTCCTTCAAAACTGCATAGTCATAAATTCGGGAAGTTCATCATTACTAGCTCATAGTCTTTCTACAGAATTCTGAGAAAGGAAAAAAAAAAGAAAAACCGAACTTTTCGAAATAAATTCCAATCATAATTTTCATTACCAACAACCATCTCCATGAGTTCTTGCGGTTGAAAGAAATTCATGATTTTTGAATGCATCACGCTTCCGAATCCTTCAGCAAATGAACGCATTTGACGACCTATTTCACCATAACAACCTTCTTCCAAGCGTTTTTTTATATAAAGCTAAACTTTTTCAAATTATACATAATACAACAAAGTAATTTATTCATTCAAACTACAGTTATGTTTACATAAAGCTAGACTTCTGTATTTCTCTTTAATTTAGATTATTTTCTCACTTTTTCACTATTTTCATTTTAAATAAATTATGCATATTCTAACAGTTTGCGCCAACACCTATAAAAAAAAAAAGAGAAAAAAGAAAAGATGGTGAAACCTGGACAAATTCAAGTTTATTTGCTTGATTTACTGGTATTTCAGCACCATTTGTTTTCAGCTCGATATCCTTACTATCACCCAATAAGGATACAGAAATCATGAATGTTAAACAAAAAACTTCTTCAATATCGTCATCTTCATAATCCAGAAGACTCCTCAACGATCTAAAATACCATAGTAGACATAAATTTAGCAAATGACGCTACAAAGATTAAAAGTATAGCTCACAAACATTACAGTTATATCAGGAAAATGATATCATTCCAGTTCTTTTAAATCAGAGAACAAAACAAAAAAAAAAAAAAAATCACCTTCCTTCTGCAGGACTTAATTCACTTAAATCTTCAAGTTCTAATGGAACATCCAAGATTTTTTTATACAAAGCCAAAGGAAATGGAAAATCAACGAGGACACTGTTGTAGATAGCCAAAGCGCATAGCATTCCAACAAGTTTAAAGCTTAATGGATCTGTTTCTACTCCTGAGAACCAAATTAAATGTGATTCTTCATTCTCTGTGAACATCCCATATCTAAAAGCAGTTACTATGATAATAAATTAAAATTTGTAAGCCTGACAATATAATAATGTCATGTTTAGTCAAATGATAGAAAAAGCATAACAGAAAAAATAATGAAAGTAAGATGCTGAGAGAATTTAAATAACATAAAATCTCGACGTTCCTTTTTTTTTTTTACCCGCAAGAACATATTATGCCACAATATTTAAAAAAATTAGCAATTAGTATTTCATAACATACTTTGCTTGAAGTAATTCTTGAAAAAGCAACATGAAGAACTCTTTTTTTACACCACCAGCATCATCAGCTTCTTCACCGATAAAATAAACCTATAACGAAACACATAAGACATGCTGTATATTGAAAAGCCGCAAACATAGTGTGATAAGGAAGCATTACAGATGCTGAGAACTGTATTATTGCCACCACAATAAAATGAGCAGATGGTTTAATTAATAAGAAACACTTGCATGGACAAAAAAAAAAAAAAAAATGATGCACAACGGAAAGATATTGGAGTTCGCTGTCAAAAATCATGACCCCTCATGATAACAAATTACCACTGGATTTGATTTAAATTTAAATCGTCCGAAATTAATTCATTACATCGATTGAGGCATACTTTCAACGGTTTTTTGAGATCCATATGTTTTGATGACAATAATGCAATCATTGCATCGTCAACAATATTATCCCGATGAACAGATATCTCAAAGAACGGATGCGGTTGAAGCGAAATATTGAAAGGCAATATCATAATTCCAGAAGTTGACATGGAAATCTGAAAACATAGCATTGATCCAAACAAATAAGATCTATCGAAAAAAAAAGTAAGTTTTGAAAAGAACAAATGAAATATCAGTACGTAAAATAGTTGCAAATAAAATTATTCGTTTTTATTGCACTAGAAAATGCGTCTGTATATTTTGTATAAACATTATTTAAAACATTAAACATACACAATAAACATACCTGCATTTGAATATGAGCCTCCAATTGCAACAGATATGTTTTTAAGTCCGCATTTAAAAGGAACGGATAATTTGACCAATAGAAAACATCATGCTGAGCCTGAAAACATAGGTTTTATGTGCCAATTCATATTTACCAAAAAGAAAAAAAAAAAAAAAAAACACGTCACTCAAAGGACACGACGATCTTTGTTCATCCTACACCACAAAAATGTGAACCTGTCAATAATAACTAACGTTAAATTCCCATCCAGCAAGATCGTTGGCCATATCAACTTTTTTCTGTAAATTATTCAAGTAAAATTTATCGTAAGCAATCAACTTCTGGGATTTGTTGATGGCATTTAATCGCGATAAAATCGAGCAAAAAGGAATAACATTAGAAGTATTATTCGGCTCATGTTCCACAAGCTGTTCTAAAGCCTTAACCAACGCCGATACTAAACGATTGAAATGTCGTCGCTCAAATAACGACCACCACTTCTCTAAATAAACGCTTCTCAAACAAAGAATTACACTAGATTTTTTATTAGAAACTAAAAAAGAAGCTAAAGCAAATTAAGGAAAGAGAAAAAAAAAATGAATAAATACTCGTGTATATCGTTTATCTAGAAATAAAATCTAATAACAAACCTAGCACCTTCCGATTTGCTTCGCGAAGGAGTTGAATTGAACGAACAAATGGCAAATGAAGTGATTTAACAGATGCATGAGAAGGTGAAGAAAACAAATATAGTGAAGGCAAAATTAGATAAATTCGAAGAGATTCCAGACAGCTTATTTTTTCCCAAGATAGTTCCCACATTCCTGCTGCATCCAAACTTGTTAGCATCTAAAATTTCTTAAATACTCCACAAAATATAATAAATCAATGTAAGGTAGAATGTGTTTGCGAATGAAAAGAGAAGGAGCTGTAGATTAACAAATTCCTTACTTGTTAGCAAATTCCTTGTTCTATCAAACTAATTACTAAATTGTAGATCAAAAATACAGATAAGAGAAGAAAAACAGACTATCTCCGCATATTGATCTGCGTCTGTATTTTCCGAAATAATACTGGATGCTTGAACCACATGATCCAAATCCAAACAACTATTTGACGCACTACATCGATATTTTTTTTCATTTTCATAAAGAAATGAGGCATTTATTGAAGATAAAGACGAAAATACAGATTCCAATTCTCTGCAAACACTCTAGTAAGCACAGAAAAGTAGATTATCTGAAAATTATGAGACTTGAGAAAAAACACAAATATTATTTTGTAGATCTAAATCTAAATTACTAAATTACCCAATAATAGTTAATTTATCACCAACTGCGAACAAGTCACGAATTCGCTGCAATGACAAATACTTCGGCTTTTGAAGATAGCTACTTGGTCCAGAAAGCACATCCTGAAAACAAATGATTTCTCATCGCTATCATTATCAGCCAACTCCTTATCAGTTGCTTTGCATTCTTTACTTATCTATTTAAGGTTCATAAATTTTTGCAAATAAAATTTAAAGCTGAAAATCTGTCAACAGTTTTTGAAGAATAAATGAACAACTGCATACATATGCATGTTTTGTATGAATCTGTAAGCAGAAACTTTGATCCCAACCGGCAAATACCGATGCCACGTTCTCAACTGAATCAATCACACGTGGTGTAATTTGATTTCGTGTGTTTCCATGACCCAGCTGCCCGTTGCTATTCAATCCAAACGTATGCATCTTTCCATTTGCCACAACTATTGTGTGACATCTAAACAACAGGTGAATATGACAAAGAAAAGATCAATTTCTGTCATGAAATTCAAAATAAACCTTCCGCAGGCAATTCTCGTTACGTGACTTCCAAGCATTTCGGTAATGCCTCTCATACAGTTCTGTGACCTATTTGGCTGGCCGCAACCTAATTGTCCAAATGAATCGCTACCACATGAGAATACGCGTCCTTCATGAGTGAGTGCAATGGAATGACTATCCCCACATTCAACAGCTACAACTGAATTAATATTTGGTACTGCACAAGGATTAACCACATCTGAAAATATAAAAATTAGTGCCAGCAATATTTCAAATTAGTGACAAGATCCAGACAATTTCATATATTATATATATTTTGACAACATCGATACTAATCTAATGAGAAGCAGTGAAAACTTCAGAAGGTTTTCATATCTACAATACATAAAAAGTCCGTACAACGAATTCATTGCATCATTCTCTTTAAACATTAATTATCCAGGTAAACACGCCTTTGTTTGTAAAATCTCCAAGTTGCCCTTCTTCATTCTTTCCCCACGCAAATAATGTTCCGCTTGCTGTTAAAGCCATTGTAAACAAATTCCCAGCACTAACTAAATAAAATCACTAGTGTTAGCATTTAAATAAAAATAATTAAACTAATTATATTCACAAGAGAACATAATCTGAATCACAATAATTTCACTTACTTTGAACTATAGGTATAGAAATGAATATTTCAACTTCAGCAGGAGAATGTCGTATCCGTCCATCGGACTGTTGGCCCCAAATAAAAACTCGGCCACCTGAAAAATTGAGTAACAACTTGTTCAAGTCTATTTGATTAGGTTTCAATTTGACTAAAATCAGAACTTACCGCCATTTAATGATACTGTATGAGATGCTCCACAAGCCACCTGAACTGTTTCTGGCAATGATGGCACACGCCTGAAATATATGTAAATGGTTGTGAAATAAGATAAATATTAAGACTTTTTATACACAAAACGAATCAGTGAATAATGCACATTTTTGTTCCTTACAAATGTAGTCTGCATACTGGCCGCTTAAACTTATATGCCAAAAATGGACTTCATTAATGATCGCAGTTGAATTTATGTATTTTCAACTACCTACAGATAAACAGCAAACAAAATTTGCAAAAAACTGATAAAAAAATACTTGGGAGTATCAGAAGCAAGAATATCCCCAGACATTGCAAGTTGCCCATGACTATTACTACCCCATGCGAACAACCGACCATCGTCTGATACTGCCATACTGTGACTTCGACCAGCCGATATTTGGATGATGCTAACGGTACTTGATATATGTACAGGATATATAGTATATGAGCCTTCTCTGACACCTCCTCGACCAAGTTCACCATTATAATTACTACCGCAAGACCATACCTACAAATTTACAATGGTTTTAAAAATAATAAGGATAAAGGAGAGAAGAGTACCATCTTCATCTTATAAAATCTGCTATTAATTAAAGCAAACAGTATTCCAAAAAATCAACTGTAATGGATTCAGTCAGAAACAATAATCTGAAAGTGCTATTCAAAACAGTTCATAATCTCTGACAAAAACCAAAAACGAATCAATCTGAAATGAAAGAAGTTGACATAAATGAGATACTTTTCCATCATCAGACAAAAATAGCGTATGTCTTTCACCACTAGCGATAGATTTCACAGTAACACCATTTTGTCCAGTTGGTGCACCATATACCAACCGCGGAACAATCATCATTTGAGAATCGCTTTCAACAGAATCCGGACGAAAACCCAATTGTCCGTCACCTGCACATCCGAAAACGTACAACTGCCTGCGAGCCATAATAACAAATAATCTGCAAAAAAAAAAAAACAAAATTATTTATTTCCATTATGTTCTAAGGCTTCGATAGATGCTATATGACATAGATATTTCAAATTTTCACAGTAATGTGAAATTTGGATTGCTCTTTGCGTAAATAAAGCTAACAAATGTAAGTTAGATTCGCATTTTTTTTTTTTTTTTTGAGAGATAACTTTTTTGTTTACAGTTTCATACAGGTCAAGATTTCTTATACTGCCTCATTATTTATTCGATTATTTAGTGTGTTATTTTGACAATTCAGCTACTATTAGCACTTCAGCCATATATTATGAATTTTCAATAAAAGTTTTAAGGATCAAAAGTTATCAAATTAATTAACTTACTCGTTCGATCCACCACTTTAATTCAGTAATCGTTTAATTCGTAATAAACAAATGGAACATAAAAGAATACCACCAGACGCTCTATTGCCAGACTCGTGATCTCCTATCCAGAAAATGCGAAAACATTAATCTCCATCAATGATTCATATTTCTTCTTTTTTAAATTAATGATTTTTAATAGTAATATCAGTAGCAATATTAATCATTTTTAGTAATAATTTCAGTGATTTTTGATTTTTAGTAGTAATATCAGCTTCAAATCATTGGTTATACTCATAATTTCATTTATGCTATTTCATTCAATAACTTCTTATTTCATATTCCTGCTTTCATTTCACTAATTCTAGCAAAGAAATTTTTGTAACTATTAGGAAAAAAGAAAAATAATGTTTCTGGAAAAATGATTTCTAAAATTTCTAAAATAATCAGAAATTAATAAGTCATTTCGAAACGCCATAAAGTCTCACTGCAAGAAAGTAATTAATAATACAAATACGTAAATAATTTGAAAAGCAATCAAGTAAACGACGGTGCGTCCTTACAGTTCCGTCTATTTCCGGGTATTCCGGAATGCATTACGAGGTTGGAAACACTGGAATAACATTGGGCGGTATTACAATTAAAATACCGGAAGTTTGCATCAGGTTAGGATGATTTAACAGGTTACTTCCGTATAAACGTAATCTGAGCATTGCTGGATTTGTTTACTACAACGAATTTATGTTATTTATTGGAGACAAAGGTCAAGAAAGAAAAGTTAGGTTAAATCTGGGCAATTAAATTTGAATTTTCTTGACTAATATGCCGCCATTTTTTTCTTTCATATTCTCTAAATTTGATTTTTGCAAAATGATTCTTATATGCTTCATCGGTTAATTCTTTCATTTTAATTTGCTAATCGATTATTCAGATTGTCAGTTCTCGAAATTATTCGAAAGATTCTTTCACATTTATATTGTTGACTAGAATCAGAAAGTTAGAAGTAATTTCCAGTTTTACTATTATTAATCAAAAATTTTTCATCATAGATTTTCTTGTTTTCGATTTTTTGATCAGTTAAATACATTACTTGTTAGCAGATTTTGTATTTCTAGCCATAATTCAACTTTTATCTCAAATCACGGGTAATTTTGACTTACCTTTACTGTTGTGCAAAGTTATGACACTCCTTCTATCTCATAGTATTATGTGTTATTCCGCGTGCAATTTAATTTTTAATTTTATTTACATATCATATATAGTTGACATATTGTTTAGAATTGTTTTATTCTGGATGATAATATTATCCTAATATTCCTTGGTAACTAGCAATGAACTTTGACCTGTAACTGTTATGCACATTTCAAAAAATTATTTTTGTGGTAAAAATTCTTCATAAACTGGAATTTAATCTTTGTTTGCTAAAAATTTATGTATCGCTTAAAAATAAAAATTTGAACTCAACTTATTATTAGTTAACTCAACTCGACGTATTGTTGTGAAAATGATGCTGAAATGACTAGTAAAATGAAGTCATTATTTGATTGATTAATTAAAATCGATAACAATTGAATTAGCAGATAAAAAATAAGTGGTAAACTAACAAGAAACTGATAAAACGAATAACTGATAATGTAACTGATAAAACTAATTTAGGATTGGAATTTGAAAATTAAATTAAAGAAAATGGAATTTTTAGGTTTTCCATTTTCCTCCTCAATTATGTTGTCCTCATTTCGAACTTTTTTTAGACTTCCAAGCAAATTATTTGACAAACTAAACTTAATGTTCAAATTAAATTTGAAAAGCAAATCTGCTACTTGTCATTCTACGTCATTGCTAGGTATTTCTTTCTTGTTTTGAACCTTTCTTTAGATTTCGAGACAACTTATTGGCTAACTACTAAAATGTTAAACTTAAATTTAAAGAAAAAAGTAAAGTCTCGGGTTTTTCTCATATTTCTGATTACTCATCATTCTTTAAACTTTTTAAATTACTTCCGAACTATTTGTTTTAATTTTAGAAAATAACTGTATATTTTATGACAATAGTGGTCCTTTTTCCCGATCAATTTCACTTCTTACAATCCAATCATTTGTCACCATTTGTCACCAAAAAAGAACGATGGAACGGTGGTAATTATTACATTGATCCTTTCATTATCAGTGTTTAATTGGGTCGTCGTCATCGTCGTCGTATCATTAATACATATGCCACATCACTTATACCATTATTTTGCAGAAATTTCGGCTAATCAACGTGTGACATGAATGATAAACTAATGGCGACATCGTTTGCTCTTGTTTTGAAATTTCTCGATCACTGTTAATTTCTGTAATATGGCAAAATAAGGAGTTGAGATCTACTGGTAGTTTTAGAATATATTTTGCAAAACGTATCCTTCTTCTCCAGTATGGAAATGATAATACACACCCTGAATTGAATCAAGATAATCTAACAAATAAATAATTTTTGACCATTTGAAATGTAAAAAAATAAACCTTGTGAAAGCATTTTGAATCTTGTGTGCATAAATTTTACTAATAAAATTTGCTGGACTTTTTTTTTGCCTACTCCTTATACTTGTTTCAGATTTCGTCCAATTTCGAGATGTTGCAATTTCGCAGATTTGCGGGAATGTATAATTCTAGAACTCGTGAATTCAGTTCAGCTGTATCTCCCGTAAAGAACATTTGTATAGTTGGCTCTGGTTTGATGGGTTCCGGAATTGCACAGGTCAGGTCTCTCTTTGATAAATTGTTTCAATTGTATTCATTTCTACATTCTGTATTGCACTGATTTCTTTTTCCTGATTACTTAGATATCTGATTTTGGAAATTCTTGATGTTTCCAAACATTCCTTTTTAATTTTCTTTATATCGAGAATTATATAACAAATTGTAGGGATAAATAGTTAGATGATTTATTTTTTTATACATACCTTCCTATGTAGCTAGCTTTGCATTCATCTATTATAGGTAGCAGCGCAAGCATCGATAATGGTGACATTAATCGACAAAACGGATTATGTTCTAAATAAATCAAAAAAGTATATCCAGGATAATTTGGAACGATTAACAAAAAAACAATGCAAAAAAGATGTAAAGGTGATTTAAAATAATACGGTAACTAATAAGTTGTTGTATTATTTTCTGTTCGTGTTTTTCCCCACTTCTTTCATTTTCTTTTTCGTGTATATTATTTTTCTTTATATCAGTTTGTTTTTTATAGCTAAGAGAAGTTTGATAAACTATATTATAGGTGCAAGCAACAATCGTTGAAAATACAATGGAAAAAATATTGATGACGACAAATCTTGAACAAGGTGTTCAAAATGCAGATTTAGTGATTGAAGCAATTGTCGAAAATCTTCCAATGAAGCAAAAACTGTTTGAACAAATTGAAACTATCATTACAAGGTTTTTTTTTTTTCTATGGTCGGTTTTATTACTTGATTTTTAAAAATCTCTAATAGGATCAAAGATAATTTTCAATTTAAAATATCAATTTGATCAGTGACACTCCTCAGTTAAGCTGATTTTGCTTCAATTAAGCTGATTGCAGTCACACCATTAAAGTTTCTTAGTAATTAATGAACTCTTCACTAGAAATATCTTTATGGTTTCTTCACTCACATGATTCTAGCGATTCAACTGTTTTGATAGGTAATAAAAGCAATCATTCATTATGGTTCCAGGCCGACACTACTTGCTAGCAATACATCTTCACTGATGTTACGAGACATTGCGAAAAATTTGAAAAATAAGTCAAGATTTGGCGGTCTACACTTCTTCAACCCTGTACCAATAATGAAATTATGCGAGGTAAATCATTCCATTTCTTATTGAACTTCAATTTTCAGTGAATTATAGACACAATTTATTGTGTTTCAAAAAAACGATCAAATATGTCGTCGATCACAAAACCATCATTCATATGTGAAGACTAAATTTTCAGGTAATACGATTGACAGAAACATCAGATGATACATTTAATGCCCTGCAGGCATTCGGGAAAACAGTTGGTAAAACGACCGTCGAATGCAAAGTAAGCTAAACAATTTGTTCGCATAGTATTAGCTCAGTTACATTTAATATTTGAATTTCAGGATGTTCCCGGTTTCATTGTCAATCGCCTACTTATTCCGTATCTGATAGAAGCTATCCGAATGGTTGAACGGGGTGATGCGTCGCCACGTGACATTGACACAGCAATGAAGTTAGGAGCTGGCTATCCAATGGGACCGTTTGAATTGCTCGATTATGTGGGCCTTGATACAACAAAATTTATCCTGGATGGTAAGTTTGTAAACCGCTTAACGCATATATAGAAACAATATTTTTAATAGGAACCTGATTTCAGGATGGCACAAGTCTCATCCGAATGAGAAACAATTTGATCCAAATCCGATGCTGAATAAATTGGTAGCTGATGGGAAGCTTGGGAAAAAGTCTGGCGAAGGATTCTACTCTTACAAATAAGAAATGTCAAATGTAAAATAATTGCATACAATGTCACGCTAGCAATCGCATCTGTAAGGTCGGAAATTATAATTCGTTTGAATTTTAGGTTATCCAAATTTTTTAGATACTTTTTAAGAGTTAGAAAAACTCCATGTCTTTGAAGTTTTTACAGCGACATATTGAAATACAAAATTTAGTTTAACATCTCAAATTATGCTATTCCATGAAAGTTGATAATGATCATACTTAGAATGTAGAAAAGCGAGGTCTTGGACAAAATTTCATTTGAAAATAAAAATCAATAGGTTTTAATAAATGCATGCAAACAAGTTAATGCAATACATGCAAAATAAAAATTTCAAATTATTACCTGTCAGTGTCAATTTCTTTTTAAAAATACATGTGAAGAGTAAGAGAAGTTAAAATTCTTCACATCCAGGAATTTCTTCTATTTTTTTGTTTTTACATTTGAACATTCGTTGCATTTGAAATTTGTCAAAAAGATTCAACATTCAGAAATTAGTTTTAAGTGAGAATTCCAATTCTAACATTTTATATGACTGACAACAAAGACAGAGCATTATGAACATAGCATTATGATTCCCTCCTTACGTCATAAGTGCTTTAAACTGATTATAATTTTCCATCACATTGCTATCAATAGCAAATTCCTTAAAAAGCTCTTTCTCTAGTGCTTCCCGAAATTCAAATAAATCTCTCCAATACTGAAAAGAAAATCATTGAATAGATCTAATGTCTGATAATAAATAAGACATGAAATCAGCTGTTAAAACATTACTCAGACTCGTATCCATTGACTGCTACTGATAACCCTTCCTCAAGTATCCTTTCCGATAATGCGTAAAAACTACGAGACATGACGGTAACGGGTCCAAGCTCTTTCAATTTCAATTACTACAGTCTTTTCAATAATGTTAATTATAAATCAGAGTTTTCTCAATTTCGTCTAATAAACCGTGCCTTAAAGTACGTCACAATTCTAAGATACTTTCCCTGAAATACTAAATGACATTACAAATCAGCAAAATTTTCACCTTTAGAAATACATTCTTGAAACGTCCAGTGACAAATAAGTACCAATTATTCTGGAAATCATTCCCATTGCTTTCGCTATTAACGATGTGTTCCGTCAAGGTAACGGTAAACTTCTGCAAACAAAATCTTTTTAATTATCAACTCCAAAAATGATTGCTTATTTACAATCCTCCTAATGAACGCCATACTCATCCTTACAAATATTGAAAGCTACCTATTTGTAATTTGAATCACTGTACACCAAAATGTCAAATGAACTTTGCGGTTTACATTAGTTCATTTTACAGTAAATGGCAATCGATATCACTTTCGATACAGGAGTTCATATTCGCATTTCTTCAAAATAAGAAACGAAGAATTAAGAGAAACTTACATGGAGCACGTCAAGAAGCAAGTTTTTCAAGCACTCATGTAAATCAGCAAATTCACTTTCTTTAACAAATGATTCCATTGCATTAGGATCAGCCATGTCGTCATGTTCATTTGTTTCCATATCCTTCAAAAACATTATTCATTCATTAAAAAAAGAGAAAAGATATTACTTGAAATCCTCAGGAAATAACAGTATTAATTCAACAATGTTCTTTGTCTTTTTTTTAAAAAAAAAAAATCACTGAATCATCCTTCTGAACAGAATACAGTAACAAAATCACTAACAAAATCATCCTTTTCATCATTCAACTCTTTTTCCTCTTTTTTCAGCTTTGCCTTCTCGATTGCTTGCCTATTTCGACGAACATGTCCACTCACATGTTCAAGGGCTATGTTTAGTATTTCCCAAATCCATAATCTAAAATGTTACAAGTAAAATTAAGCTTTCTCTTTTGCTGTATTTATAGCGAGAAAATTTTTCTATACCTTTCAAACTCAGGCTTCATTTCATCACTAAATAACCAAGCCACAACAGCACTGGCGTCAACCAACGACATTTTCAATAATTTTGTCACCAGTACTATAATCATCTGAAAAATAACTATATTTATATATGAATGTTTGCACATAGTAAGAAAATGTAAACATCAAATAAGGAATGCATGTTCTAAAATAATTCACACAAATTATATCACATTATTCTTTGCACGACGATCTATATAGCCTGAATGAAGTTCATAAATTAGTTTCTGAGGCAAAAGAGATTTAAGTAAAGAGGATCTGACAAATTTATGAGCCAAAGCAAACAACTTGATAAATATCATTCATAAAAAAAAAAAAGATCGACAAAAATACAGCAAATTTCACAAGAAAATATACCTGTCCATGAAGTTTCCAGGTTTCATAAAGTGTCCGTAAAATTGTTAATTGCACATCCTCCCTACCACCAATGAATTCCTTCAGAGTTGAATAATATCTTGAAAGATGTAAAATCTAACGAAAACGGAAATTTACATGTAAATTTCAAAGAAAGCCAATATATGTAACTTAGCATGTTTTTATTAAAGTTTTATATCTTTAAATATTAACTCATACAAGCTTAGTATAGAAAATTAAATGTAGGTACAGCAATGACTATTAAAAGACAAGGAAAAAAAAAATGAAAAAAAAAAGTCACACACTGAAAGTTTTCTGACAAACTACGAGAATTTATTCTCTTTTCTAAAGGTTAAACAACTTATACATCACAGATAACGCAATTAAATAAATTTTGTCTTATATTGTCAAAATGAACTCACCTTGTTAATGCAACAAAATTGTGACTGAAAGTTTTTCGAGCCAAATAAAGCAATACTTTGAAAAAAATGGATAATCTAAAATTGATATCCATTTGATTTTCACTTTGGTTACGCAATAAATCAATCATCCCATCAGCTGATATTTTCTCGCGGAAAGCTTTTTCAAGAACAATAGCAAAGTCACGGTCTGGATGTTCATCTTAAACAAATAAATTAAACTAACTTTCATAAAATATCTCACTTATTAATCCTTAAATACCATTTATTCGAAGAACAATGAAAAAATGTGTGTTGCAGCATATTCTAATAAATACAAATTATCAAAATTATACTAAAACAGATTTGTTCGTTTTTGACATCTTTTAGAGATTGAAGAATGCAGTGTTAAAAAAACTAATCATAAAACTTTGAATAAAAAAAAATTACCATCATTGAGATCATAAGATATGATAGGCTTCTGCGGTATCATTTTTTCAAATGCAGCAGGTAAAAATTCTGTTAATCTTTGATGATATGATAATCGCATACACTTATCCAGTACCTGTGTAACGAAATTACTATTGTTTAAACTATTTATAGTAGTTTTTCATCAGAAATTTCAAATCCTCTCACGTTCGAAGCTAGCAAAATACAAATTGATGCAGTCAAGAAAGTACTAAACGAAATATTGCAATCCAATCACCTCTCGTACGAACATATGCTTCGGAGCAAGACGATCTAATTCAATACAGTCACTCCAATCCGACCAAGACCATCGGTACTCAAAATTTGACATGTGATAGCTGAACCAGTCAATTAATCTGCAATATAACAACAAAGTAGAAGATGATTTTGCTTTTGAAATAAGAAAATATTTATGAAATGTTTACCTATCAATACAAGCAACTTGCATCGAATCTATTCTTTGGTAAAATATTTCAGCAGCCTGTGCTATTACCTGAAAGAAATTTAATGAAAACTGATTTAAATATTAAAACATTAATACTTGAAACTCATGCTTATACAATCAAAAGAAATTAAATTGCATCAAGTAAATAAATTGAAAGATAAAAGAACATGCTTATTCTTTCGGTCTCATCTAGAATAAAAAAGTATGTATTGCTATTCCGAAATACAAAAGCAAAGACACATGAGTCAGTAATTTGTTTCTTTCAAGAAAGCACTGAACAAAATGAGCTTAAAACAAATCATTTGAATGATAAATAGGTCCAATTTTTGTTAATAACAAATTTGGAGAAATAAACCATCAAAGAATGACTAATCAAAATTTATTTACCTGAGGCATACTTTTAGTTTTGCACAATTCAATCAATAAACTTCCATAAAATATTAATCGAGTTGGTGCTTCGGGCAAATGAAACAATTGGGAAAAAATCACTTCTAATATAACATAGTTTATTGGTACCAGTGTACGTTTATCGTATTCCAACAATCTTGAAGCACTAAAATTCGAAAACTTAACAAAATAACAGCGACAAATGCAGATGGAATGCAGATGAATTAACGAGCTATCAGTCTGATTAGATATCTTATGAAATAAGACTAAATGCAAAAAAAAAGTATTGTAGTGAAACAAAAATTATCATAGAAAAACAAAAAAAAGAAACCTCATTTAAAGTGTACATACCATTTCTTCCTATTTGTCTTTTCTTGATCCAAAATCCACCGCAATTCCTCTTCAACTAGGAATCGTTCTATGGAATGTGCACCAGGAAGAACCGGTCCCTAAAATGTATAAAATATTATGAATGCAATAATAAAAAGATGAATATTTCCAGCTGAGAAAAACCAATCTGAAACAAACTATACTGCTGAAATTTGAATAAAAAAACTTCGAGATTCGTAAATGTAAAGAACTTACATCATCTGGACAATCAGCATAATCAAAAAAACGGAATACCACACTAGGAAGAGGATAGATACTACTTGTTGTATGTGGTGGTGGCTCAAAACTAAAATAAAGAGAAAGTTAAAAAGAGTGATTAAATTAATTTAACGACAAGAAAAAATAGCTAAACATAGTAAAATCCAGTGAAAATAAGCTTCACATATGAGATGAAAATAATGGTAATTCATCTCAGAGACATAAAATTAAATAGTAGTCAAAAAATCTTAAGAATGAAGATGAATGCTATTCTTTTATCTTTTCTTCCTTTGTTTACCTTTTTTCACATACATTGTAAAGAATAAGGCATGAAAAAATCAAATCAAAAAACTATGCCTTGGTAAACTATGCTGCAGCGCATCCGCTAACGTTCCATCAAAAGCAACATAATGACGAGTGATAAACTTTTCCTTCCATTTATCAGATCGTAATTTCATAATTTGTGCCCATAAACAATCCAAATATTCTTCTTGTTCATGAATTGATTTCATCCAAACTTGTAGAATCTGTAGATTATTAGAATTTATTAGAGTGGAGAAAATATGAGATCAAAATAATAAATGACATTTAAATCACTTATTCACTTGAAAAGACAATTTGACAAAAATTAAAATCCTAATATACCTTTACATGCTCCTTATTTCGAGACTGCAGATAACTTTCAACAATATCCAACATAGCACTTAATTGTTCTTCATTCTTTTCGGCAAGCTCTTGGCCAACCCAAGGAAGACAATGTAAAAATACATAGACAAACCAATCACGCCTTACCTGAAAAAAAAGTGACTTCTTAATCAAATCTAATCTTCTTAATGGGACGATTTGGCCAATAACCGAAAAATAAAAACTATCTAATAAAATATCTAATAAAAAGTGAAATATCTAATAGAAATAAAAAAGTGAAATATGAAGCCATTACCTGCGGTATACCTGTTTGGGAAGCACTGTTTATAAGATCTCCAAGGAAATCAACAAATGAATCTACTGTGATTACCCTACAGTTGACCAAATCAGAGAAAAATATCACCTGAAACAGAAAGTATGAGTTACAAATCTTACAAAAAATAATATCGAAATTCAGTAAACAAATAATTAATCATAGGGAAGCTTTTCTGAATATCTCTGAAATTTTTATCTTAAAAATTCTACTCAAATTACCAATTTTGATTTATCAGTTCTCTAGAAAAATACTCAACTATAACTCTAATGAATACAAAATCAAAAAGTTAGTGGAAAAAAAAAGAAAAAAACATAAGAGTTGAAAATTTTACAACATATAAAGCGTGATCAAAATCATTTGTTTTCATCAATTCGTTCAATCTTGAAAGAAGTTTGTCCAAAAGCTGTAAATTAAAATGATGAGTGAAAGAGAAGGACTGAATAAATGATGAATGAAATGCAACAAAAATCAAAAGAATCAAAAAAAAAAAATAAAATAAAATAAAATGTAGCACCTCCGCACCGAAATTGTATTTCTTAGCATTCAACAATCCAACCAAAGTGGAATAAATTGTTAGTTTATTTGGCATACTGTATACACTAAAATATAGAATATTAGAGAGAAAAGTTACCGGAATTTTATTCCAATAAAATACTGACCAGATATTGTGATTAGTAATGCATTGAAATGTAAATGTGTAAATATTTGAAATAAACTAAACTTACCATTTCACAAGAATATCAATAATATGTTCTTTGTATGTGTCCAAATCTGTTTCCAGAACTTGCGCTAGACTTTCTAAATTTGATTCTAAGGATGAACTGCTCTGAAAAGACTTTACAGAGAGAAAATCGAAGCAAAAATTTATTTTTGAATATGACAAATTCATTTAGAACATTAAACTTAAAGTTTAACCAAGCAAGAATACGCAGTTTTCTTTATCTTTCTGGTCATTTCACTATTCTTTTCATTTTCTAATCATATGAGAAAACCATCTTAACCGTTGAATTGCTTTTCACCAGTATTACTAAACTAGTATAATGGACTACAATAATGTATGTTTCATGAATAGCAATGTCACAATGAAACGGTAAATCACCAAAACATAATTTTAACATACCTTCTCACCAACATGTGTCAACAATTCTGTTAATTTATGCATAATTTCATCTTCCACCGTATCTGATCCATGTCGTTTACGCTTATATAAAATGTCATCTACAACAATTCCATTACTTATTAAAAATTCAAAATAGTTTATTCATATAATTTATTTCATCAATGTATTTCTAACTCTATTTAGCTTTTATTTAAGCACATTTTTTTTTTCCTTTCGAAAATGTAAACAAATTTACCTTCTTCCAAACCAACATGTCGTCGCCTTTCTCGTTGATCTCCACCATCATCCTGTCCACTAAAATCACCAAAATTTCGTCTTTGATAATTACCATCGCCAAAATTTCGTCTCTGATGATAATTGCGACCTCTATTACTGATAACAAAATCTGAACGACTATTTCGTTCCTTCTCTTCTTCATCACACATCATCTCCTTATTCTAAAAAAAAAAAACCTGTTGTAATGATACTTTAGTAATTTGATAGTTACAAAATCTTTAACTCACAACTGATATGTTATTTAAATTTTATTGAGCAGAGAAAAAAAAAATAAATACACAAATAATTGTAATTTCAATTTTTAAAAATTATAAATTGTCAATTTTGAATTAAGCTAATAAATTATTTCCCAAATTAAAAAAACTGCCATTTTAGTTGAAAAAAAAATCAAAAGAAATAGTGATAGCAACAAATTTATGAGAGATTTTAATTTAATCTGAACTGCTTGTACTTAAGTTAGAGTAACATCGAGTAATACTTCAAATGAAGTCTTAAATGAGACAATTCATATTTCACCACCATCTGTCCGAATGTCACATGGTGTCATCATTATAGTTTGCAACAGTCATGAAAACATTCATCTATCATGTAATATTCTTGTGATAATTATAGTAATCAGTGATAAATTTAATGTAAAAATCAAACTTATCACGAATGCAGGACATTTCATCTAAATGTTTTTTTTTTTTTTTTTTTTGTATGAATTTATTTTTTCTAAAAATTATAAAAATTATTTTACAAAAAATCATTGTAAATATTTAATTGTTTACTACGATATCATTTAAAAAACAAAGCGAAATAATCGATGAATTTGTTTGAAGAGCAAAGATTACAAAAAGATTAGTTCTTGAAATGTTAATGCTATGTTCGCTTCAAAAGAAAAAGAAAAAAATTAACAAAACAAAATTAATAAAATGAAAATATTTTTCCTTTAGTAATTTTAAATTTTAATTTTAAAATCGTTTTTCTTTTTTTTTTTTTGTTAGTGATTTTAAAATTATGAAATTTGGTATTCAATTAAGTTTTTATATTGATTTTAAAATTATGAAAATATTTATTTGACGCTTCAAAAGAAAAGAAAAATGAGGGAAAAAAAATTAATAAAATAAAATAAGGCTAAAATTTGCTTTTAAAAATGATTTTGATAGATTTAATATGATTTTTAAATTTCTCATAATTTGGTAGTATTCGAGACTAACTGGAATTCAGGAAGTTATAAGTGACATTTTAGTTAATATTGCTTACACATAATTGCTCAGCTCCTTAATTTGTGCTCTCGAAAATGATAGCATATCAAACAGTGATAAGATCAATATTTGATAAGATATTTGGGAAATTTATAATTTTTTATTACTGAATAAAATTGTCACTTTGATAACAAAATGACAAAGTATTTGACTTTTTCCTTTTTTTTTTTTTAGTTATATATGTTTACTTTTATTGATATTTTAATTTTCAAATTACTTTCAATTCCAATTATGTTTGATGATGAATTGAACTTTTGAAATTTATTTTACTACTATTTTTGTCAAAAAAAAAAATGAAGCTATACTCATTATTAAGGTTTATATTTAGCAAGAATTGATAAATTTATTTGTATTACGAAAAAAAAAAAAAGTTTGACAGAATGAAATTTGACAATTATAGTTTTTAAAGTACAATACAATTTAACAGAATGAAAAACTGAAATTTAGCAGCAAACTAATCAACAAAAATGAGAAAATTTTTCTCTTAGTAGAAAGAAATTTTGAAAATTAAAATTTCGGATTTAATTTCTAAGTTAAAATAATTTAAGATTGATTAATTTGTTTTGTTATAAATTATAACCCATTTCAATCATACAATTGTTCCTTATTTTATTTTTTCGCTCATTTTCTTCCACTCATTTTTTTTATTTTTTTTTTTTTTTTTTAAATCTTCTTTTAATTTTTTTTTAAATCAAATCCAACGTAACTTTCATTCTGCTACTTTTTTTCTCTTTTTTTTTTTTACGTCGTGATTTAAAATTTTTTGAAATTTATTAATTTTTTTGTAAGTCCTAATAACGAATAAAAAAAATATTAATAATCTAAATGGGTTCATATTTATTAAAGCAGACTTCATACTTTTATTTAGAAATTTTAATCCATCGAGAATGTCAATTTTTTGATGAAATTTACTATTGTACTAGCAAATGATAATTATTACTTGCTGAGTAATAATTATTGTTTGATGTAAAATTTGTTATCACAAAAAGCATAAACAGCACAAATGTAATATAATTGTTCAACATAATGAGATAAGCGTTATTATTACTTTTTTTTGAAAAAATACTACAATATATTTGCTTGAATAAATTCATTTTTAAATTTTAAATAATTGTTGATTTGCAAATTTGTTTTTACCTCATGCATACTGTATTTTGATTTCATACTGTAATAAATTACTGTATAAATCTTACAAAAAAGTTTTCTCAGAGAAATGTTATTTTCCTATAATTCATTATAATATGAAACGACGCGATTCTTTTTTTCTTGAAAAAGGCTACAATATGTTTACTTGAATAAATTCATTTTTAAATTTTAAATAATTGCTGATTTGAAAATTTGTTTTTATTTCATGTATACTGTATTTTGATTTCATACTATAATAAATTACTGTATAGATCTTACAAAAAAGTTTTCTCAAAGAAATGTTATTTTCTTATAATTCATTATAATATGAAACGATGCTATTCCTTTTTTTTTTTTTTTTTTTTTTTTTTTTGTTTACTCAGATTGAAACATTTATTAAATTATTCCCAATAACTGCAAATTACAAATGTGCATTAATTAAAATGTAATTTTATAACAAATGTATAGCTGAAAATATTTATTAATAATTAAATTTATTAATATTTATTTATTAGTAATTTCAAATGAAACATTCATTTCATATCCATTAATTTTGTTGCCTATTTTTTTATCAAAAATTTCTTTTTTTTTTTTTTTTTTGGACAAGTTTTTTTCTTACAATCTTTTTCATCTTTTTTTTGAATACTTTGATTTTCTTAAATAGTTTCGTTTTCTTGTTGAGAAGTAATTTTTCTTTTTTTTTTTTTTTTTTGCAAAAATTATCTGTAACAGTGTTCTTTTCTCGCTCATATTTTAAGTATATTCATTTTTAAGATTAATAAGTTTTTTTTTTTTTTTTCAAATATTTCCTAATGCGATTATTATATTTTGAAGGAAAAATTCTATTATTAAACTTTTTCTCGTTATAAATTCAAAATTAACTCATTCATAATACTTCAAACAAATATTTATATGAGAATATCCAAAAAAAAAAAAAAAAAGAGGAAAAAAAGATGTAAAAAGTTGATTTGCCTCTAGCAAAAATCTCAATTATTGAGAGAATTTTTGCTTTTAAATTTGATTTTCTACTATTTATGAACTGGCAATATTACTTTTCGTCTTTCCGTTAAAAATTACGTCACTTTCTTCAATTCATTTTCTCAAATACAATAATTATATTTGCATTTCCATTTAAGAAATAGGAAGGAGAGAGAGAGAGAGAGAGAGAGAGAGAGAGAGAGAGAAAGGAGGTGGAGGAAGAGGAGAAAAAAAAAAAAATTATTCGAAGATAACAAATTAAGACATACGATTAGATTCAGATGAAATTTTATATATGTCCCAATTTGGCAAGAATTAAAAGAAGAAAAAAAGAATTTCATTCTATGATTTAATAATAATAGTAATAGCAGTAGTGGTACAATAACTGAGAACAATTATTTTATAAATGAATCATCAAATTCATTTAAATTCATATACCTGATCCGGAAAATCTCATTTTCATTTCTCAGATATCGTTTAGTTTCCTGTAATTCCATCTGAACTTTCCGATTTATCATATTCTAAAACAAAGTTCAACAAATCATAATTTCTCATTTAACGAAAAATTCACAGAGAATTATGAAGCACTCAAAATTTTTAAATACCAAATGAAGTCTTTTTTTTTTTTTTTTTCAAAAATTGACTAAATATAATTAAGAAATAATCAGTACGAGTTTCTAATAATAATGTTAATTACTGATCTCAGAATAAGTCTTTTGCTTTTATTTATTTTTTGTTTACTAATCTTTTATTTATTTTTTGTTTACTAAATCTTATGACTAATAACATCTCTAATAAATGTCATAAATTGCAAATTATTGCGAATGCATGAAATATTATTCAAGGAAAACTGAAAAATGATAAGCAAAAAGTTTTCAATGGATAAGAATAAATAAGTAATTTAAAAAAAAATTTTTAACTTATAAGTTTACATTATGTACAACTCATCAAAAATCATTTATGAAATTAATGTGAAATTTATTATAAAATTTAAAACTTAAATTATTATTAAAAAAAAAGTCATTATAAAATTTAAACTCAAAACTCAACAATAAATGTAATAATTTAAATTAAGAAATTATAAAAAGACAGAGATGAGAAAGAAAGCAATAGAATATATATAAAATTTAAAGCTCTATTAAAAATTTTTTTTTTTTTTTAAATACATAATTTTTGGTTGAAATTTGAACTAAATTAATATTTGTTGTTGTGCTAAAATTTCAAATGGATATTTTACAAAATGAAAATTTAACTCTTTCCCTCTCTCTCATAATTCTAATAATTAAAATAAAATTTTGAGTTCAAAAATTTCCTTGGCTATTTATTTCAGCTGTTTACGATAACAATGAAAAATTGCCGCAATTATAATACTCTTTTTTTTTTCTTTTGTTTTGGGGAATAAGTTTAGAAATTGTCTTTCATTCATTTTAGGGCCAAACTATCATTTGAGACAGCAACTTTAAGTGAATGGCAACATAACTCCCAGGCCACACTTTCATCATCATTCATTGGCCCAGTCATTTTGGCCTTTTACTTTTCTCTACGTGTATTAATCATCATGATCATTTTAAATTGTTGTAACTTACTTTGCTCAAATTTCGTTATTTAAATTACGCATTCAAAGGCTCAATTTTTTTCTTCAAATATTTTCATTTATTGAAATACAAAAAGAAAAAAAAAACACATATCTCATTCATTTTAATAGTTTTTATTCGAATTTCAAATAAATTTAAAACTTTGTTTTTTTTTTTTTTTTTTTTTTGAATTTTAAATAAATCAATAAATTATCTAACATAATATAA